ACGTTATTGTTCGATACTTGCTCATCAAAAACTAATGAAAAAGGTATCATTGGCAAGAGAATTGAATGCCCTTCAAAATGATGTGCCACTTGACCCCCCTTTCCATTTGAAATTCTGAGGGTAACATCCACCCCTCCTAGGGGGTTGAACCCCGAGGGTTGAAAATATTCATTCAGAGTGTCCCCCTTGCAAATAAAGTTGACCTGTCTGACCATTTTTTCATATTATGTACTGGAAGGGAGATATTGAGGGTGGGAAGTTTTCAAATTGACACACTGTATATCAGTCAGTGGGCTATTGTGTTCGAAAACTTTTGTTATTTGTAAATTCTGGAGATATATTTAATAATTCGGTTTGATCGGGATTGTTTAAGAAATGTATCTCTTTTTCAGCAAAAATTAATATCAAAATTTGATACATAATTTTCAGATAGGATTACCTACTGGAATATTCAAAAAGGAGCAAAGTTTTGAAAGCGCGAAGAGCCAGCTATAGAACGCTTTCTGAATGGATTTGTTTTGTTCTTTTCATTATTCTTAATTGTTTTTCAAAAGAAGGTATTTCATAGGACGATTTCAGCTCGATTTGATATTTGGAATATATAATTATTTACCCTTATAGAAAAAAAAAAACATTTATAAGGGGAAACTGGTATTTCAAGTCAAATCTAATGTTTTTTTAATTTCCTTGTAGAAATTTTCAGTCATGCAGAATTTTTCCAATTTTTGAAAAATGTTTTTGAATATCTTCATGGTAAGATCATTATCAGTGCTTGATATGTATTTCCAGAATACTTTCAATAGTATAGGATAGAAAAAATGACTTTTGTGTGATTTCTACCAAGATTTTTTACGAACGATTTCGGTTAGTTAAACCATTCTTAAATAAACTGAGGATGTTTGATAAACATATCTTTAGATAGGCAATGATATGGTATATGCAATATGTATCCGATGAAACAAAATTTTATATCTGAATTATCAATAGGTGATCTGAGATATCAAAACAATAATGACATAAATTAATGGATGCAGCCGTTTGAATTAATGTATATAGCCGTTACTACGTGGTAGAAAATCATAATGAAGAAAAGAGAAATGAAACTTTCCATGTTTTTTAACACTATTATTTGTAACTAACGATACTGCAGTTTCGTCCTATACGGACATTTTTAAAGGTATACAGCGTGACTCACAGTCGATGGTAGGTTAGACGTTTCTGGAAAACGCAAAGCGCAAATAACTCCAAGAAATCGACTCCATATCATACAGGGCGTGCTAAAATTACTATTATTTCCATTGTGCATAAAAGTAGTCAAAAGTTCATTTTTTCAAATAAAACCCCCTGTATATCACTCGGTGAATTTAAAGATGGTGAGAAATGCTTCAAGATCATATATTTTATCCCTTTACCTAAATCGTCAAGTTTTCTCAATAAAGTCGCTTCTTCTAGAAACATTATATTTTTTTAGAATTTGGATTTAGGTAGCAGTGGAATTATCAAGCTTATAGCAGTTCGGTTACTTTTATAAGTGATTTACAAAGAGTTATCGACGGTGTTTCGAAACATCTTCCAAAATGAATGCAAATATTGATTATTCAAACGAAGTTCTTATGAAATTATTTATTATACATATGAACAAAGTGATCAAATCATTGTCAGAATGTGTAAAAATTCAACCAAATGTATCCTGAAATAACACCAATGAACGAGAGGAAGTTTGTAAGGTTACAAAATAATTTCCTTAACTATGGCTCAAAGTTTCCAGGGAACAACTGTACCAAAAATCAGTCATTTTTAGGTAAAAATTAGGATTCTGTGGGCTAAAACATGTGAAAGTACAGACAATAACAGAATAGGATGATTCAAAATAATAAAATTGTAAACCAAATATCACATTTCCACAATAAATGCTGAAAATATTGTCCATTACATTCTTAACACTTCATAATGTTTTTTGTACGCGACTTGCTTTTTCAATTTCCTGAAGATCCAGATCTTCAATACTCCGCACTATCCGCCGTCGCAATTCTTCTTTGGTAGGCACTGGAGTACTGTATACTTTCTTTTAAAACACCTCATGAAAAAAAGTCAAGTAGCGTGAGATCGGGTGGTCTCGGTGGCCAATCCCACGGCCCTAAACGCCTAAACCAACGATCGTCGAAGAGTTCGTCAAGTTTCCTGGAAACTTCCTGGGTAGAATGAGCTCGGGCTCCGTCCAGTTGAAACCACGAATTCTTATATTCCTCCAAAGGCAAATTTTCAAGAAAATCGGTTACTGTCGTCCTTAATAGTTGGAGATATCTCTCTGCATTCAGTGTGTCTCCATGAATGAAAAAGCTAATTTCATTGTTCTTCAGAATACAGAAAACATTCAGGTCAAATTTTTCTTGAAATCTCCTTAAAATAACGTGAGTTGGCGTATGTAGTTGTAACATATGGCTTGTAATCCAAAGATCTTGTGTTCAAATTCCATGGACCCTATAATTTTTTTCATTATCAGCAGTAACGTTATACAAAAAAAATTGTATGATACATTTGTTGAAAGTGATTTTATTTTGCTCGTGAGTTTGCTCCACTTGCTGACGCTCGTTTTGCAATAATCCTCACTTATAAAATAAAATGCCACTTTCAACACTTGTAGGTAAACCGTGAATAACTATTTTTCCACAAAGACGGCTTTATTAAGAAAACTTTACGATTTAGGTATAGGGACATGTATATCATTTCGAAGCATTTTTCACCATCTTTCTATTTATCGAGTAACAT